AAATTTGGTCAGTGCCACAACTGAGACCCAAGATAATCACTTGATGTAAAAGTAGTGTCACACTCAACAGATTCTTCAGTGGGCTAAGTCTAGGAAAAGCATATGCAAGGTTTTCTTGTTTCCTTTTTTCTTCTTATATTTTTCTAGATGATTTCCAATGTTCCAATTCCCTGGTGAAATGAGGTCTTGATTCTGATGAGGCATATTACGAAGACTTTACATCCGGCCCATTGCTTGCCACGTGGTGACGCTGGTTGTGGCTCATCAGCTGACTGTGACTTGGAAACTTGGCTTCACAGAGTCTACATGTGTGTGTCCTTAATAGGATATGAGCTAGCTGTTGCTGTAAATGAAAATTTAAGTTTATAAGTACCTGCTCTCTGTACTCTCTGTTCATGCCTGTTCAGAAAAAAATGAATAAAACTTACTAAGCTATTACACAAAGAATTTTCTGATATAACAACTTCAATGAGTTTGGAAAAAAAAAACTTAGACAAAACAACAGGAGACTTAAAATAGATCCCGAGCTACATACCGGTAAGTGACGGACACCTTGTGGACATTGTAAAGGTGGCCACTAAGATGCTCCAGGTCAAGGAACTTCTCATGGCAGATATGACAGGCCAGAAGGCCAGCAGTAGCACCCTGAGGGTAGGGAAGGGATGCTAAAGGACAACACTCAGGCTCAGCTTATGCACTGTTTTCATCTGAGGCAGAATAGTTTTCCTATTTCAAGCCAAAATTTCAACCACTACAAGCAACACAGCCTATATGTCTTCCTGCTCTCTTGAATATTTCCTAAAATTATGCTCATTTGACAGATGTCAAAGATAAAGACAGCTGACCCTGGGTTACTAAGGTTATAAGCAGTCTATGGTTCAGTAAGATCAAAATAACACATCAACAACAGGTGTTATTTTTTTATAAACACACAAATAATAATAAAGACCAAAAATAACAAATGACAATGATATCAACAGTGATAATAAAATAAACATACATATAATACGGAAAATCACAGCGGGGTTCAAATCATATCATATCCATATTTGTTAGTCTTAAAAGGGAAATTGTTATCTGCTTGTATCGGTGCAGAACATTTGTGTTTTATATTTGTCTCTAATTTTACTTCCTTAATTCTTTCATTCCTTAGGTTAATGTTTTTTTATCAGTATGGATGCACTTTTACAACAATTCCCAGTCTCTCACTACTCAAGCGTGTTCCAATCTTGAAAGCATTTTTCCTCTAGTTTTTCCTGAACATAAATCAAAACACAACATGAAGTATAATACATTGCCTCAATAAAAAGTATATATCTGTAACTAAATACAAACACTTACAGATCCTATTTCAATGGGCGGTATCCCATGGGAGTGTGGACTGTGTAACTCAGCCGGAATCTGTCCTACACTGGATCCTGGGACACCAAGTCTCGTAGCATCCTGAGGCATGTTTATTTCTTCATCCTCATCACCCTCTGTTGGTGAAAGCCAGACGTGACATTCTTAAATGATGATATTAACTATTATATGTGCCTATGGTCTACATACATAAACTGTATTGTGAAAGTATCCTATTGTAGCATATCTTGAATTCTCTAACACCCTGAAAAAAATATTAGAATATCATAAATTAAATTGATTACCTGAATGAACTACAATTTTTTAATATATACATATCAAGTTACTCCCAAATATAGCTTGCAAGCTAATGGTCAGTGGATCACCAGGTGTATTAAAAAATAAAACAGTCTAACACCAAAAAATAATAAACAAGTACAGTGGGCCCCAATTTAAGTGATTTCATGTTTAATGACAGACTAAAAACCCCACCTTTATCCTTCATTAGCAAAGCTTTAGCAACCATGTGTCAGTGCTTCCTAATTCAAGTCTTATCATAAAATTTCATTAACTTATGACATCCTTTTCCCTACTGGCTCTCATGGGCTAAAATCAAGAGCAAATCACCGAGATGATGATGGAAAACATACAAGGCAGAAGCTCCTTTGTCAAAAGGGCCATTAACCATGGGTCTCCTACATTTTAGCATTGTTGGCAGATTGAGAAGAGGTTGGAAAGTAACATTTTTGACACACCAGAAGCCCAAAAACTTGAAAGGTAAATAGAAAAGGTATGAGTGAGAATGAATATCTTTCCAGGAATTTGATTGAGTTTGATTATATTTTCGTCAGAAATACATGTATATCTGCCAAAAATGTAACTGAAAAAACTCAAATATATCTCTTGGAATGTGAAGATATTCATTCTTGTTCATACCTTTTCTAAATTTGTTGCAATGGACACTGCTCCCACTTGAAAGGGGTTATCAGTGAAAAGCATTACACTACACCAACATCCAAACAACCTAACAAACTCATTGCTCTCTTCCTGGGGGGGGAGGACAGCAAGACAAGCAACCAACCAGATTCAAAATTGATATTGATGACCTGACAAAGGAAATCCTTCCTTTTCTACTTGGAGAGGTAGATTTTGATAGCTTTTATAATGGTGCAATGAAGCTTTAAGGACAAAGAGAGACCAAAGGCTGATTTAGTGACTGAGGAGGGTGATAGAGGGGAGGGGACAGTGATACTGAAGATGGTAGTGCAACTACCCAGTATCCTGCCTTCAAAATTTAATGCTACTCCTAGAGCTACTAACTGGTGATTTTTTATTCTTGTAAAGTACTGTAAAGGAGTCTATAAAATATGTATTTCATTTGCGTCAGTATCATGAATTCAATACCAAAATGGGCTCCAAAGGATTAACTTGGGAATTTTCCCAGAATAATTCCAGATTAGTGATTTAAAATTTATTGAGATTTTGATGGAGTATTTATGTCACTTAAATCGAAACCCCACTGTAATATATATCAAATAAAATAAAATAAAATAACTGCATATCAAGAGGTAAAATAGGGGGGGAAATCAAGCCATAAGAGAGAGGTATAAACTCTACTGATAGTGTGCTACAGTGACCCATATGCTTATGAGGGTAAAAATATATGAAACCAAACTGTATTGCCATGAAATAATATTGAACACACTGTTTTACATCAGATATATTATCTTATTAATCCATATATATATACATGAACAATAATAAAAATATCTAAATAATATCAACATTATAAGTATCATATATCTATATGAAATTTACCTGTATCATCATCATTGCCACAACCAGCAAAAGAATCATCCTGATCATCTTGCAAAGGATAATCATCAGAGTTAGTGGAGGAGTTGCTGACAGTGCGGACACGGTGTTGCTGTTGGTTCTGCCATGCGGCCAGTTTGCTTGGGTCTTTCTCGTAGAGACGTGACGCCATAACCTGGTTCAAGGAGAAATATCAATACATGCTTCTATGACTTTCCCAGTATCTACCTTCCTCTATATCTTAAGAAAGGGGCTCCTTTATCTGATAACTTTATTTCATACATATTTCTGAATTTTGAAGGTTAAGCAAGGAGCTGTAATAAATCAATGTGAGGCTGGGATAAAAATGAGAGAGGCACACAAGAGAAAAGAAATAGGTAGGAGAGGATGAAGAGAAAAAGAGGAGGAAGACAAGGATAAAGAAGTAGAGTGCGAATGAGACTTGGAAGAAGAAATACATCAGAAAACTCGCACTGTAAATACAACTTCTTGCATAACTGAGCTGAACACCCTATTAATTATCTTTAAAAACAGAAGCTCTAATCCATACAAACCTGTAAACTCTCCAAAGAATTATCACAGTCTGTGGTGTCTATTTCATTAAGATTAGCACCAGACCGTTCTATTTCTGCATAAGTGCCAAAAGGAAGTTTTCCAAGACACTCTAGCTTCATAATGTGCATCTTTGAGCGGAGGTGTTTAGCTAAATGACCATGAATGCGGAATGCAATTTTGCAATCATGACACTTGAAAGGTCGTGGGTTATCTGTGCTTGGGGTCCCAAAGGTCATGTTCCTATTTACCTGCAAAAATATTGACTGATGAAATGTAGTGCTCAAACAACAACAAAGATCTGAACTTAAACATACAGAATTCTGTATACCTCATTCATACATCTAATGTTGGAAAACAATATACAATATGCATTGAACTTCAACTTCAGATAAGTCACATTCAAGATCTGTAAACAAAGCAGATACATTTGCTCTGCCTTTCACTTACCTTATTAAAATGACTGACAGATCTTTTATGCTTCTGAAGATGCCCATTGGTTCTGAATGAGATGGCACAAGATTCACACCGGTAAGGCCGCTCCATATAATGAATGTTCATATGAAGAGTTAGCTGGGACGGACGGTTAAATTCCTTGTGGCATATGCTACACCTGCACTTACCATCATCGTTCCCTAGTCTGTTAGGAAACAAAAACTATGAAGACCTCACAATACAATATTTACAAATTACAATACATGGTGACAATGTTGTAAGGATAATTTACAAGTCTGAAGAGGAAATTATAATCCTCAATACAATTAGCATCAATGTAATTAATATAATTATTATAATACTAATTATTAAAACACAAAACAAAAATATCATTTACTTCAAGAGAAATGTATTACTCATAAATGTATTCTGTAGTACAAAACATTTTCAAAGTATTTTAAAATTCAAAGGAGAGAATTGTCAAAATATCTGAAATTTATCATAAAATAAGACACAACCTTGACATACATTTCAGACTTTTAACTCATTTGCGACGGGTAAAAATGAGCAAAAGATGGGGAAAATGCTGTGCTCATTTTTTATACTTTCTGTGAAATGTCTCTACACATAGATGGCTCTGCCTTACCTGATTTCATTTGGTGGGAAAATGTATTTTTTACTTGTGCTATGAATATAGATGGTTATTTTTATTATAAACATTATAATTATTATAAATTTATAAACATTAGTAACAGCAAAATAAGATAACGTAAAATATTTTTGTAAATTAAAGAATAGGGTAAACAGGCGAGACAGGCAGTACAAGTACAAGTGTAGCCATCTATGTGTAAAAACAATTAAACAAGTAAACTCACAGTTGGCATGTCACGTTTACATGACACCCTGCACGAATGGGTTAAAAAAGTAACAAGTAATATAAGTGCAAAATCCAATCAGCATGGATGGCAAGAATACATGCCAGCCGGGGGGGGCTGGCATGTTTATTTATTGTATTTACACACAGATGACTCAACAAGTGCTTAGTCACCAAGGAGTCAGTTATCAGTCCTACCTGTCTCACCTGTTTATCCTTTTTCTTGACTTTTGGAAAGGGTCTTTTATATTTTTTCATTGTCTTAAATGTTACCAAGATTTTAATAACAATTTAATAATCATAACATTGATAAAAATGATAACAGTATTGACATCAATTATATTAAAAAGTAAAACATTTTCCCACCAATTCAAGGACTGGGAAAATCAGGATCAGTCCCTAGAGCCTACTAATAGACTCCTTGCCGGCTGAGCACGTGTGGAGTAAAATTCACAAAAAACTACAGGGGACAGAACATAAATCCGTGGTGGATGGGTTAATCATGAAACTTTCAAAACATAATGAATTCATTTACCTGTTCAGAGATGAAGGAACAACACCACTGGGTACAAGGAAAGCAGTCTTGGTGTCCATTCCACCATTGTTCATGACTGTGAGATTGGCAGGAGGGGTTGGCATGCGTGAAGTGGCTGCTTGGGGAGTACTGTTGACAGCTGTTGCACAACTCGAAGAGGACAGCTCAGAGGTACAACTTTGTTCAGAGTTTAATCCCAAGCTTTCATTTTCAGTTCTTCCTTCTCTTTTTATCTCATCCAGTGATGTTCCTCTATCATTCTGTATGCTTTCTGGTTTCTGGGGCTGTTCATTGGAATTTTCTGCCCCTGCGGTTGATACAGATGTTGCAGAATGGTTTGGGATTAGACTGTTGTGAGGTGAATCTGGTGACGTATCTGATGATGAGTCTTTGTACTGCTGTCTCTTGATGGTTGTGTCCAAAACTGCACACTCCTTTATGTATGCTTGCAGCATTGAATTGTTGCAACCATTTTCTTTACTTGGATCAATTACAATGTCTAACTTCTCCCTGTTTGATACATGAGTTGCTCTTGATGTTGTATTGTATATACTCTTCAGGAGAGTTGATGATTCAGTAACTGGTGATAAGATTTCAGAGGGGTGCTCTCTAATAGGGGTTGTAGGAGTGCCAGGTGATGTCAGATTTGCTACTGGAGATCTGAGGTCAGTCACAGAAGATTTGGCCATCAGTGGGAGAAAGCTTGGTCTGCGTGGGACTGGAGGCTTTTTCATGGCCAAGTTTTTATCCTGAGACGGAGAGAGATTAAGCACAGCTGTCTTCCTCACACTCAAATCCATGGGAGAATCTCTGAGGGATTCAGCATTTTCAGTCAGTTTTTGAGACTTGGCATCTTTTGAGCTGTGAGCACAGACTGGACTGGAAGAGCTTGAACAAGATGAGATGGCCATGACTAATACTCCAGATCTTGAAGCATTTCCAACCAAGCCCATGTTTTCTTTGCTCTCTCTTATCTCCCTTTTCAACTCAGCTTCACTCTTAGTACAACTCTCATCTATATCCATTTTATCTGCATCTTCAAACTGGTCATGTTCTAATGCTTCATCATCATCATCTTCATCTTCATCACCATCATCTTCCTCATCCTCTTCCTCCTCTTCGTCATCATCATCATCGTCATCACCACCTTCTAAAACTCTTTCTTGCTCTTGCTCCATCTTGCCCTGCAATAGATAGACTTGAATTCACTCTGTAACTAGCAAAAATATTAATCATCTCTGCAAACACAAAATATTTGAGCAGAATGTAGGCATCTTATGATTACTTTTCTTAACCACTAGACACGTGACCTTGAGTAACTTATTCTCTCCCACCTCACATCTTTTGACATTTATTTTATAGGGATGTTGAACTAAAAGCAAAATACACTATGGGAAGCGGTGTGTGAAAAGTTTCCATGCATCTCACAGCATGGTAGAGACAGAATCAAGGCAAGGGGATATGGTGGTGGCAGGGGGTGGAGGATGGACTGTCTATGGAGAGTGGACAGGGTGAACAAAGCCTTGTGTCTACTGAATACACTTCCACATGTGCCCCAATACCAAGGGGTTAAGAAAATAAAACAGAAAGAGAACACCATTATTAAAGATGTATACAGAGTATTCAAAACTTAAGTTAACCTTGTTTCACAATTCAAAACATTTATAAAACTGACCTGCATTGCCAAAGCCTCTTCATTGACATGGCTCTCATCAACCACAGTTGGGACAGGCACAATGCCCATCTCCATACACCGTTTATAATGAGCCTTAGACCTTAGATGTTTGGTCAGGTTGCCCTTGGTTTTGAAACTGTGAAAGAAAAAATTTGACTTTATCCAATCATTCACTTTCCCATAACCACACATATGTAAATAATCATTTGTATTCCCAACTGATTTTCTTTTCATCTTTTTTTTTCATATATATATGTTAAGTTTCCTACCTGAATGTGCAGTGGCTGCATGCATAAGGGCGAAGATCTGTGTGAGTACGGATATGCTTTTTTAACATAGAGGGCTTTTTACAACGAATCTCACATACTCCACAAACATATCTCCCTCGACCGCGACCTCTGACATATGTATAATCTTCAGAGCTTTTAAATCCTCCCTCAAATATTTTGATGCGTTTGACTGTGCTGCTGTCTGAGGTCTCAGCATCATCACTACTCTTGCTGGAGGGTTCAGCACATTCCTCCTCTGGTTCACGTTTTATTGCTGGCCTGTTGTCTTCACTGGAACTTGGTTCACTTGTCCTTGTCACTGGGTCTTCATTCTTCACTACCTTTGGGTCTTTTTCTTTATGTTTGTCCTCCTTAGCTTTATTTTTTTCTTTCTCTTCCTTAAATGTCCAGTATGAAGAGTGTGTTTGAATGAGATTTAGTTCTCTTGGTTTGGCTACAGAGTATGTTTGGTCAACTTTTCGAGAGATGTATAAGCTCATGTGTTGATACGGTGTAAGATTTAAAGGATTGTCCTCTGCTGGTTTACGTAACTGCCAGTTGGAATACATGGAAAGCTTAGGATCAGTGGACTGAGGTACATACATGGGTTGTTGCCTAGATATGCAGCAAAAATAAGACTTTGTGGAAACCTTGTGCCCTAGATAAGTATATGCTGATCCATTCAAAAACATCTGCACACAACTTTTCTTGGGCCGAGGTGTATCCGGACTTACCAAAGTTGTGCCGATCAAAGCAAGTGAGGAGTTAGGTACATAAGGCTGTGGTTTTAAAGCCAGTGAGTTTGGACGTTTTCTTGGTGGCAGGAATTCCTCACAATCCTTTGTTTCCTCTCTTCCTGCTGTGTCATTTCTGGATTCATCATGTGCCACTGAGGATTTCTCTATAGCTTTCTTATCAAAAGCATTTGTCTCTGATCCTCCTGGGAGTCTGACATCAGGAGTCATATTTCGTTCAGAGGATTTAAAGGAAACACTTACCGATGCTTTCCCTCTGCTTATTTGTATTTCTTTTGGTGGTAACTGTGGGGACTGTCTAGATGGGACTTTTGTCACATGAAAGGACTGGTGTTCCCTCACTGGACTGCGTGGAAAGTCTTTGGATCTTGGAGGTTGGAGACCCTTCTCCCTGGAGGGGCTCATTAAGGCTGGAGGTTGTGACAAGGAAGTTACTGGAGCTTGTGCCATGGGACTAAAGGATGAGGCAGTTATTGGGGGTGCAAACACAGCAGGATTTTTCTGTATTCTGTGCAGGGGAGGCTGAACTACCATGCCTGCCTGGGAATATGGTCCAGGAATCCCCGGTACATAAGGTACTTTTTCATCACCTATTGGTATGAGAGCAGGATATGTAGCAGGTGATTTGCTACTGCCTTTAAACTGCTCTTTCTCTTTCTCTCTAATTACCTGTACTTGCTGATTTCCAAGAGGATTTCCTATATTTCCTGGAGGAATCTGTCCAGATGCAGCTATTCCTGCTCCTGGAGACAATTTGCATGGAGATGGAGCTGCAGGTGAATGAATGGTGTTGACTTTATGTTTCCCAACCATTCCCTGGGCTGGTGAATTTTTAGCTGAGAGAAAAGACTGTACCGGGCCAGAAGCTGGATAGGTTGGGAAAGATAAACTACCCAAATCAGGTGTGGGAATTCCTGGAATAGCTAGGTTTGGTAGTTGTAGTAGAGGTGCATAGCGTAAAAGAGGAGAAAAAGCATCATTATATACAATGGTGGAAAGCGGTGCTTTTGAGTTACTTTGAGTCTGTGTTGGAACACTTGGCTGTTCACGTGATATGGAGGAGCTTACAAGACTTGGTACTGTTTTGGTTGAGGAAGTACTTATCTGACTCTCCACTTGAACCATTGTGCCCCCTGAATTTAAGCCTGACTTTGCAATTGTTACCACAACTGAAGTAGGAAGTGACACTTCTGCCTTTGGTATGTTACCTCCTAATTGCTGTGGGGGAATGCAGATATCAATAGCAGGGCTCGGTGGCTGGCTGGGGTCTATTCTCATTGTTTTTCGTTCATTGCCATCACAAATCTGAACCTCACCACCAAAAAGCTGGAGATTGCTTGTCTTTTGTTTATTCATATCTTCTAAAATTTTCATTCCTGCATCCCCTTTGCTTGCCCCTTGTCCACGAGGGGAAAAAATTGGTGGGAGAAATATTGACCTGTCTTGAGATGATGAATCAATGTCAGACATTTTTCTTTTTTTGGTTGGTGGTGATGCTCCTTCAGGTGCAGATTCACTTCTATATATCCTTGGAGATAATTCTGGTCTATATCTATTTTCTTCCTCTGACCCTCGGCGCTGCGAGGACTCTCCAACTGATGATCCCCTTGACAGTGATCTCTCTCTCTCAAAGTGATCAGTTCGGTCAGGTTTTTTCTGCAAATCTAAAGCTACATCTTGTTCACTGGGCCATCTTCCCCCATCTCCACTCTTAACAGAATCTGGTGTGCCCCTCTCACTTCCAGTCCCCACAAGTCGCTGTCCGCAATAATGTCGAAGGTGAACCTCCAAACTCTCTGGACTGCGGCAAGGCACGCCACATCTGGAGCATTGGTAATGTCCTTCTGTAGGCTGGTTTAGCCTTTCACATTCCAGCCTGTCCAGTTTCTGATCAATAGTACCTGCAATGGTAGCTCTAGAGTGCAAGAGAAGACTTTTTATAACTGAACCTTCAGGATTCTGTGGATGCTGACGCAAAATAGCTGGATCATCCACATGAGTCACCCGACTCTTGTGTATATCTCTGACCACAGAGGGGCCCTCAGAACTCCTCCTCTTGCGTGATCCCTCCACCATGGTTAGGTCCATCATGCCCATTGTAGAGGTAGTGAAGGCTGGAGCAGACTGAGAGTAAGAGGTAGTATGTCCTTGTGATGATATGGAAGGTTTGGAAGCACTGATGGGGGTGACTGGAGGCTGAGCAAGAGGCAGGTGTGGGGTGGGTGGAAGACTGGGGCTGTAAGAAGACCTTGGCTCAGCCATCATTGCCTCAGCAGTGACGGAATGACTTCTCTCTCTTGAATATTGTTGTTGTAATGGGCCTAGACCAGCAGGTGAAGGAGCCGTTGATGAAGAGCCAACAGCTGGGGCCTTGGAATTCTTAATAGTCAAATCAGCAAGACTAGTCCGGCGGCTTTTGCTTGTGCCTGAGCCATCACTCTCACTTGATGATGAGCCTATACTGGGCTGCCTTCTGTAACGTCTAGACCACAGTGGATTGTGAGTATCCACAATGGCCTGGTTTTCCACAATCAACTTAGTGATGTGTTGCCCAACTAATTCTGGACTTGGAGACTTAATTCCTTTCCAAATAGAATTTGCACTTTGTGGTGTTACTACTGAATTTCTTTGACCTTCATCCTTTTTATTTGCAGCCCATATATCGAGTGGCGGTAGGCCTTGCTTTGAGACATTGGCTGGACTTGGAGAGTGACGACTAGGGTTAGAGGGTGCAACCTGGTTGGGTTGGCCATGGGTGGAGGCAGTATGGGGTTGATATGTTGAAGGATTGATAGCAGTATGGTCAAGTTGAGGAGCATCCTGAGGTGGAGTTGGCTGTTGTCTTGCTGGTGGAGGTGTTTGGCCCTTAGGGCCTCTTTCCTCCCTGTGTGCATAATGAGCAGAAATATGAAATTTTGGCTTGTACAAAGATTTGCCTCGATCAAGAGTTCCCAACTCATCATGATGGGTACTCACAGAAGCAGATGGAAGGTCTTGGAGCTGGTCCCTTATAGAGGTTCTTGATACAGAGAGATCAGCTGGTTGTAACTGCTGAGCTCTCCCCTCTTTATTAGCTGACTTAGGGCCATCTTCTACATCACCATCAACATTATCACTAGACTCTATAGTTCCATCACTATTATCAAGAGCTACACCATCACACTTCCGAACATGGGTTCGAGATCTAGTGTGCTTCTTATAATTGCTTTTAGTCTTGAAAGCAAGACTACACTGTTCACAGGTATATGGTCTCTCATTGGTGTGTGTGCGTTTGTGCTTATCAAGCACAGAAGGTTTGGCACATCCAACTCCACAATATTCACATTTGTACTTTCCACCACTACTATTACTGACTTTTCTTTTGTTATCATCATTCTCTACTGATAACTGATTAACAACACTTCCAGTTACACTAGCAACTGTATGTCCATTGACAAGTGTTGGGGTAAACTGAGGTGCTGCAGTGGTGGGCCTGGCACCTGCTGGAGAGGCTTGAGGTGTGGTCGAGGGGGTCCTGGCACCTGCTGAGGTAACCTCTGTCCCACCCTTTTTACCCCTTTCGTTTTGCTGCTGCTGTTCTGCATTGTCACAGGCCTCAGATGTGGCCCGCTTGAACTTCTTGTGTGTGTAAATGACATCGCCGGAAGGGTTCATGGGGACCGTGCATGTGATCACACCCATGGGATGCATGCAGGAGATACAGTCCTCAGCATCTCTCACAGCTTACGGCTCCATCTTTTCTTGAAATGTGCCAACCATAATCTGTAAAATATGTTTGAAAGTTAGATGTGTCATACCTGGGCTATATCATATTTGCTTTAAAAAATCTTCACAAACTTTATTTCTGAAAATCAATCTTCCTAAGATATGCATAAAACATACCTGGTAATATGTATCACAGATGCTGATAAGAAAAGATAAAAACTATTCCAAATAAGCTAACAATAAAAAATATCAAAACATAAACTAAATTCATTACTCTATCCTCTCTTTCCAGTGTATAATTGTAACAAGATGAGTTTCTTTATGCCAACTTCTAGAATCTAAATCATGACAGAAATATCAGTTATTACAAAAGTTACAAAAGAGATGTAAGAAAGAAATACACACCAAAGAAAATGAATAATGGTTGCACCTTCTCCGCCCAGTTAACACCATCACCTCTGACACCACCTGGGAATAAAATGTTTAATTATCTCTCTCGTTCAAACAAAATCTCTTGATAACTGGTATCACTGTCTTTTAATATACTTCTAATTCTCATTTTGAAAAATTCAAGCTATAAGACTTCAGGAACATTACACTGACACCATCTTCCTTTTCAGTTTACAAGTATTACTTCTACATATCTTATTCTCATATATGTAATTCAGTATGTACTATAGTATGTAATCTAGCATGATACCAGCATTCCCTCTTGTTAGGATCTCCACATCATCTACAAGCTGAAATTTCCCTTGTAGTTCATCAAAAAATCTGAACTGATTAATGAAAATTCCACGCCATTTACAAAGCCCAAGTACCTTTAGTTTGATATATATTATCTGTCACATCATAGATGCCACAGAAAATAAATTACTGTTTTTTACTCTGAATTAACACTTAAGACATTATACTCATCCTGGTTAGTTAGCTACCTACCTCCCTACCATCCTCCCTCCCTCCCTACCTACCTACTTACTGCCTATCTGCTTGCCCGGTGCCACCTGTGCAACATTTTTTCTCCCTGTATTTCACCTGACCTTGTCTTAAAAAGACATTTATCACTGCGGGAGTCGGTGACCTGGTGTCTTGCCCTGCCCACCGTCACGCGCGGTAATGATCACACTTCGACCTGAACTTTTCATGACAGAAAAACCTTGGGGAAGTCCAATAGATACTTCGCCCGACTTTAGATACGTATGGATCACAAGGAGGAATACGCCATAAGAACAAAGGTGTTTACATGAAAAAATGATGATAAGAAGTGATTTTTTTGACTGCCGGACCTAAATAGCTATAAACATAATAATCAATGACTGACTACATTCAAACGGCCATTTTGAATATGAAAAAAGTCATGATTATACATGATAAAGATGTAAAAAAAATCTCCGCAAGTAGTAAGGATTGGATTGACGTGCCACAAACTCCGTGCGCCATTGTCACGGGTCTTTTGGCCGAGGACCTGTTGGCGCGGGCGGAGTGCCAATCGAATTACGGGCAGGCTGGCCGATGAAGATGACGATGCAGGAATGCGACGCCAAAGTGATTATCGGAAATAGTAACTACATATTCTCTTATCCTCTTTTTTTCCTCTCTCTGTGTTTCTTCCTCTCGTTTTATTTCTTCATTTATCTTCCTTGTTTCTCTTGTGTTTTCCTGTCTTCTCTCCTACTCCCCCTCCCCCTCCCCCTGCCCTAATAAATCATATCATCCTCTCAACTCATCTCGTATCTTCTTTCTCTCTCCCCCCCCTTCCTTCCTTCCTTCCCTCCTTCTCTAGATCTTCAAGGAGGACTTAAACTCGCCGACCGATTCTTTCCTCCAAACGCAACGGAAGAACCAGGAAAAGCACCTTGATCGACACTTTGGATTCTGAATGAGACCAACCGTCCCCTCCCCCCCCCCCCTCTCCCCCCGCCCCTTTCCCCACCTCCCTTATGATCTGCTATTGATGTCCGCCCTCGAGGCCAAGGGGTCAAAGCTTCACAGAAATCAAAGGGAAAATCTCTTCTTCCCTCCATCACGTGTCCACAATATCCGATCAGTTTCGTGGACTCCTCTTTGTGCTCGATACAGCCGTCGATTATGTTGTTATTTGTTGCTTCTTAACCCTTAATGGCAGCTCTCCCGGTGCATTTTTTTTCTCTGTCTGTCTGTCTGTCTGTCTGCCTGTCTCCCTCCCTCTCCCTCTCTCTGTGTGGTGAAGCGGAAGCGATCTCGTGAAGCAATCTTGCTGACCTGCATTCAAATCTCTCGCCGCCAGTGGATAGTAACCTGCCCATTCCTTGCACACAGAGGGTAATTTAGAAGCAAAATTAAACAGACGGCATGTCACATCAAGGATATATATTATCACAAATGGAATAAATCTAAACTAAACCAAATTATAATAATAATAATAATAAGAAGAAGAAGAATAAAAACAGTAAGAATAATAAAAACAACACAACATTATTATTATTATTATCATTATCATCATTATTATCATAAATAAAGACGATGATGATGATGATGATGATGATGATGATGATGATGATGATGATGATGATGATGATGATGATGATGATGATGATGATGATGATGATGATGACGCCGACGATGATAATAATAATAACAACTATAACTCACAGCTATAACTATAACTACTACCCTACAACGGTACTATTAGCGGTACTACCACCGGTGCTTCTACTGGTATTATAGTAGAAACTATAATTAATTTACTGACACATAGAAAAGGTAATCCTCTGTCCAGTACCCCTTTTTTTAAATACATCAGTTATCTATATCTTTTAGAAAATAATTATCCAAGTTATTCCTTTCATCACATGTGCATTGTTCATGACATGTAACCAAGTCCGTCATATGTTGTAAATGTACTGGCGTCGTATCTTCGTCCTCGAAAGCAATCGCTATCTTTACATAGTAGAGCATTTGAGAAAACGCTGAGAACTTACAGGCAGAGGGAATACATAAAAGGATAAATAAGTAAACAAGTAAATAAATAATAAATAAATAAATAAATAAGTAAAGTAAATAAATAAATCCGTAAATGAAGCAATAGCGATCAAACTATAAATGCCAGTGCTAAACCTTTAACATTTTCGCAAATAACCACAAAATATCGACAAAATTGAATTCATTAAAGCAAGAAACCAGTAAAATCGATATAGTACTTTGCATCTATACCATCCTCTCTCTATATTTAAGGCTAGTTGCACAGCCTTCCGCGCCACAAAGTAGTTCTCCTCGTAAGATTTGTGAATTACTGACACGATATCTTCCCAGAATCTTATCGTTGAAAACTATACTCAAAGAAGAGGAAACTTGACTTTTTACGAACATTTATCAATAATCACTGATAACAAAAGGTAGTCAATGTGATCGTATGTCTGACTGATGCAATGATAGGCGATTGGGTGGGAGAGACGACGCCTATGCATGTTGATTTCTTGTATGCAGTATATGTGCGTGATATTAACCGATTTATCCTTTAATCTTTAGCACGTGTTATGCTAGAGGTACGTTGGTGGCACTATTGAAATATGATGGTAAAATGGCAGGAATTATTACAACAATGATAATGAAACGAATTACACATAACGATAAAAAAGAAAGAAAAAACAACAACAACAATAATACGAGACCAACGACAAATGAAAAAAAGGAACGATAAAAAAGCAGTAAAAAAAAGAAAAGAAAAGAAGAAAAAAAAGGAAAGAAAATAACTCGAGGTCGCACTCCACCGCTCGCTTCAGGCTCCACCTCTCACCTATGACCTATGACTTCAGCCATTCCTCCCGCAAATGGTCATCGATCTACATTGTGAAACGCAGACAGACTCTCCTCCCATGCAAGACCTGAAACTACCCTGTGACCTGTTATGTGACCCCGTTACCTTTCGGGATCATCATCAGGTCATGCTTTGATGTTGCCAGGTAGGAATTTTAGTAGAATTTGATGCGGTCATCAGTGCTGTTTTTTGTTGTATTGTATTATGTCTTGTAATTGTAGCAGAAGCGGCGGCGACGGTAGTAGTTGTTGTAAGCGTAATTTAATAGTGATATTAATATTATTCATATCCATTATGAACATTAATAGTGAATAGTGATAGTGATAGTGATAGCAATAGCAGCAGCAGCAGCAGTAGTAATAGTAGCAACAGTAGTAGCAACAGTAGTAGTAGTAGTAGTAGTAGTAGTAGCAGTAGTAGTAGTAGTAGTAGTAGTAGTAGTAGTAGTAGTAGTAGTAGTAGTAGTAGTAGTAGTAGTAGTAGTAGTAGCAGTAGTAGTAGTAGCAGTAGCAGCAGAAGTAGTAGTAGTAGTAGTAGTAGTAGTAGTAGTAGTAGTAGTTAGTAGTAGTAGTAGTATAGTAGTATAGTAGTAGTAGTAGTAGTAGTAATAGTATAGTAGTAGTATAGTAGTAGTAGTATAGTAGTAGTATAGTAGTATAGTAGTAGTAGTAGTAGTAGTAGTAGTAGTAGTAGCAGTAGTAGTAGTAGTAGTAGTAAGTAGTAGTAGTAGTAGTAAGTAGTAGTAGTAGTAATAGTAGTAGTAGTAGTAATAGTAGTATAGTAGTAGTATAGTAGTATAGTAGTATAGTAGTAGTAGTATTAGTAGTAGTAGTAATAGTAGCAACAGTAGTAGCAACAGTAGTAGCAACAGTAGTAGCAACAGTAGTAGCAACAGTAGTAGCAACAGTAGTAGCAACAGTAGTAGCAACAGTAGTAGCAACAGTAGTAGCAACAGTAGTAGTAGTAGTAATAGTAGTAGTAGTAGTAATAGTAGTAGTAGTAGTAGTATTAGTAGTAGTAGTAAGTAGTAGTAGTAGTAGTAGTAGTAGTAGTAGTAGTAGTAGTAGTAGTAGTAGTAGTAGTAGTAGTAGCAGCAGCAGCAGCAGCAGCAGCAGCAGAAGCAGTAATAATAATAATAGTAGTAGTAGTAGTAGTAGAAGTAGTAGTAGTAGTAGTAGTAGTAGAAGTAAAAGTAGAAGGAGAAGTAGTAGGAGTAGAAGTGGTGGTAGTAGAAGCAGCAGCAGCAACAGTAGTAGTAGTTGCCATTATTATCATTATCATCACTATCATTTCCATCAATGTTCCCATTTTTCACAATTGATACCATCATGTTTGCGAGCACGTCCATCTGCCCGTGAATTCATTCATGTGCGCGCGCAATCATGTTTCTTTGCATATATCCATGTATCTGTATATTACTTAGCCTTAAAACACCTCATCCATAAGCAGATTTATCTGAAACAAAACAAGCAAAGATTTTTTTCAAGAATCTGGACTGGGCGTCTGCAACATGTATGCGCAACGAAGACACATCCTCGAACCAAAGGCAGCCAAGCAGTGAGCCTACAAGCACATCTAAACTCGGGTCTCCTCGCCGCCACCAACGACGGACACTAACAAGACGAGGCAGTGGACTGGAGCCGTAATAGGTATATTAGTGACACCGTTATGCTGGGGCGCCTATTACTCAATTACCGCCATTCCCGCCATCGATGAGAGTGCGCCGCCGTCCCCAGCACTCCGGGTCGGCG